TATTGATGAGTTAGATTTGTCAGGAACAATGTACCAAAATTGCATGCAATACGGTTTTGTTTTGAACCATTGCAAAGATAATTTGCTGGAACTAGACATGTTGGTACCAAAATCTGCAATGTAGTAGGCACCTACGATKGGATTCAAAGAACGAAATCTCATGTTAACACTTCTAGAAAAAGTCTTAAAGCAACTGACACCATTTTTGTCTTAATGTTTTACAAATTTTACCATAACTACAAAGAAAAACTTGTGTTTTACAAAAACATTTTGATTTTTTCCTTTGACAAAGTAGGTGCCTGGGTTCTAGTGACGTCGAGTATTTGCGGCACTTAAACAAGTGTCAACAACTGTTTTCATTTCGTGGATAAACTGACTGCTTAGTTCTCCATCTGGAGAAGAAAACAACATATCATTCATCGTTCATAGAAGCTATAATCAAAGACCAGAGTGACTTGGAGATGAAATAGTTGCCTTTGAAGATATGACAGGGTAATTTTATCATTACATAATTTTTGAAATCATTTTAGATAATCCAATTTGACTTCTGTTTTTGTTGACTTGTGACTATTTGACTCAAGGCAAAGGTTTAAATTTAATGTGTTTAATTTACTCCAATACTCTCTATGGACGACTCAAGACAAAGCAATCGGAGAGCCATGGTAATATATTATATGCAGTACCATAGCAACTGTCATTATCGTTTCATGGAAATACAAAAGACATTTATACATCGGACTTTTTCGAATTTGTAGAATTTTTTTGGTCGGAGTGTCTAAACGTCAGGCAGCCTGACGTTTAGTCCCAGGACTAAACGTCAGGCAGTCGAATTTTTTCTTTAAAAATCGTCGAAACAACCGTAATTTCAATTAATACGACAAGAGGAATGCAATAAAGACCGAAATAATACAGTTCGACAAGTTTCAAACACAAGCACGGCATTTTGAGATTTTTTGACTGCCTGACGTTTAGTCCCAGAACTAAACAGCAGGCAGCAAATTTTTGTATGAAAAATCGTCGGAAATAACCGTAATTTCAATTAATACATCAAGGGAAATGCACTAAAGACCGAAATAATACTGTTCGACAAGTTTCAAACACAAGCACGGCATTTTGAGATTTTTCCACTGCCTGACGTTTAGTTCCAGAACTAAACGTCAGGCAGTCGATTTTTTTGTGAAAAATCGTCGGTTCAA